TGCCTTCTTATCCTTCTTGCCATTACTCTTGCTCTGCTTCTTCTCATCTTTCTCGCTTTCCGCTTTCTTCTTCTGTGCCTTCTCCTTGGCCTTCTTGTTGTCAGCCTGCTTGTCTTCGCCCTTCTTGCCCTTAACCTCGGTTGTCTCATCTGGTTCGTCGCTGTCCTCACCTTCCTCATCTGCAGGGTCCTCATCTTCGTCTTCCTCGTCATCATCTTGACTTTCTTCCGGGTCTTCGTCTCCATCCTCTTCTCCATCCTCTTCTGAATCCTCTTCTCCATCCTCGTCTTCATCTTCTGCTGCACCGTCCTCCTCACCATCGCTCTCTTCTTTATCTTCACTCTCTTCTTGGCTCTTCTCTTGTTCAGCCTCCATTGAATCCAGGTACACCCAAATTGAACCAGGTCTCATCCATCTTCGAATGTCAGATTTAGGGTACATGTTTTCCCTGTCCACTTTCCCAGCGTCCACTTTCCCAGCCTCCTCGTCGCCCTCCTCTTCAGCTTTAGAACTTGAAGAGCTAGCGGAAGACTCCGTCCCCGAGTCTGAGTCGGAGTCAGAGTGAGAAGAATCCTGCACGTGAGGAGAGCTTTTGCAAAGGTGCAAAGGAAGTGGAAGATGGAAACAGCTTGTGAAAAGGACCCTAATAAGTGGACAATAAAAACAATGCAATCCTCCACGCAGCTCTCTAAAGCCGAAGAATTCGCGACCTCCTGGATAAACAACTGTTCGAACACACAACACACTGCTTTGGGTACTCCATAAAACTGCTAAACACAAAGCACATAAAAACAATTAAGCTCTATAGCTCCTCAGTGTTGATTTTTTGCAAAATGGCATCAGCTTCTGCTTCGGTCATGGATACCTTCTTAAGCTGATTCCTCTTAGACTTTGCAGGCGCCGGGTTTTCTGCAACGATGTCTGTGATAGTATCTTCACTCTGGAAACTCAACTTCCTTGAGATATTTTTCTGTGGTGTGGCCACAGACTTCAACACTGGGGGAGGAGTAGCTTGAGAAGACCCTGACCCTGCAACTTTCTCAGCCCTCTTCAACTTTTTCGGATCTGGACTCTTCGATCGATATGAAGGGTCAGGTGTTTTCTGACGCACGCGACGAGCCGGTGGTTCAGGTTTCAAGGTCTCGCTCTTTCTTCCTTTGTTCGCTTTCTGTTTCTTCGACTTTCCCATGGGATCGACCTACAGGACTCGACCTAGCTAGCCTCTAGACAGCCGAGAGCTGCACGGATGAGGCCATGGATGCAAGGCTACCTTCATAGATCTGGCACGGTCACTCAGAGCGCTCTGCAGAACAAACTTTCTTCACGATTTGTGAGAAATCTGGCAACTCCACACTGAATCCTGGACCAATCCTGAGAATTTTTCAGCGGTGCACAAACCCATGAAAATTCACGGCGGTTCATGGGTAGTTCACGGAATTTTCACGGATTCACGGGTTCTACCCATATAGTAATTTTTTGAACAAATTGAACTGGGATCCAAACTTTCCATGATCTTTGAAGCTTAAGTTCTTCAAGATGGTATATATAGACCGGCCCAAGACAGCATGCACCAAAGCCATTCTTAATTTAGATGGCTTGCAGAAAAGCCGGCCTAGCCTCAGCTCTTGCTGAGGATATCGATCATGATAGGCCTCACGTTCGCGATGGTGGCCCACTTGATCGTGTCCTGGCCGATCAGGAAACCCGTGAAACCCGTTCGAACCGCCCGTGAATCCGTGAAACCCGTGAAACAACCCGTGAATCCGTGAAACCCGTGAAACAACCCGTGACCCACTTGAGATTTGGGGGTTCGGTCCTGGATTTCCTTCTTTGGGTGATCAATGAGATCTCTCCTGGAAGGCATCGACAAATACGTTTGTGGCCTATCCTCTCTTGACTGTTGTAAGTGCATATCTATATATATATATATATATCCCAGGGGGCTGAAGAAAAGGGGCCGTCCAAACGTCGACGATTGGACGGCCCCTTTTCGTGCACAGGATATGCCACAGATACTACATCCTTTCCTCGACTCAAAGAGTTAAATCTATATATATATATATATATATGGATCCTGACTCAAAGAGTTGCAAAGAGTTGCATGGTCAACAACGGCCGGCCTCCGAGCCATGACAGCCTTGATGATTTCTCCCTGTTGGTTGCAGACAACTTCAGCAACTGATCGTCCAAATAGTATGGGATAATGTTGGCTTCCTTTGAGGTCTGGCCCACCTGTCACCCAGACCCTGGAGCCATCTCCGCTGACAGACCTGGCGCCAGCGCGCACATATGAATGGCAACTATAGAACCACTCAATAGCAGGGGTTTGCTGGGATTATATACTGATCCTGAACGCAAAACCTTATACCCAATTCTGGGGCCTTTAGCCGCCTTTAGCTGGCTAGCGCCATAGCTAGCCAGGTAAAAACTCCAGCGGTGCACAATTCTCAACGACCTCACCTTGTAGTCATGACTGATGGCCACTCCTTCTTGGGCAAGTCCAGAAAGAGCGGCTGCAGAAGGGATGGGTAGTTCGAGTAGAGCCAGGTGCCCTTTGGGCCTCAAGTGATGCTTGATCCGAGAGAGGTTGAGAGGAGAGTATACTGGCCGCGTACCCCAGAACAGTATTAGAGTGTGGGACATTATGAAACTGGGCAAAGGCGCTGCCACCACCGTAGGCACCAACCCAGATAAAGAACTTAAAGATCTTCATTTGCTTGCGCAACCATTTGAACGCCGGGTGGTGCTCCATCAAGCTCGAAGAAGGTTGTTCCAATACCCAAGGCAGATGTAGGGCATTCATACATGCGAGAATCATGCAAACTCTCGATACCATGATGTTCCTCGGCTCGCCGCGCGCTGTTATCTATATCCAAATGATTGAAATCAACAGTTAAATGCACTGACATAGTATATATATATATAACCACAGGTTTTCCATGGTTTCTGTAAGAGGCGCCTTTTCCTTGAACCTACGTTTGCTGCCCGCTCGATCTTGGGCGTCTAAGGATACCTATGTACCCCATCCTGCTGGCCGACAGTGGGCGCTTGCCCCAGATCTTTCTGAGAACGGTGGCTATGACTATGATCATTTAATCCTAGGAACATCTAGGAACGATCGATGTTTGTATATACATTCCTCACTATTGGCCCTATGCAGGGATGGGAAACCCTATGATTGCAGATGTGCAAAATCACATCTCCCACATGTCAAACTCGCGTGTCCCATCACTCCTCACTGGCCGCCAGGCCAATCATCTTGAAACATTGGTCCACTGCCTTCTTCATGCATGGAAGCCAAGAGATCCTAGGGCCGTCGGACGGGCTCACAAGATATCTAAACCACTCTATATACAAGACCGGACTCCTCTTTCAAGTGATGCATTTCCCTTTTGTGCGACTGTGGGTCAATGGCACGCTCAATGCTTCTCCCGATACTGTCATCTTCGGCTTGAGGGCGCGGTGACGAAGAAGAACTTCAACTTTGCCCTTTCCATGAACGTGCCTGGAAGCCCAGCCACGCAAAACCCACACGCAGCTATTTCATGCTATTTCTATTCACGGTGTCGCGTTTTGCTGGGCTAAATGGCCATGGATGTTTACACATGCAGTCTGGGGGACCCACCTTGTGTAGCTGTGCTTCCCATGCCGAGTGGACGTAGGCTTCAACAAGTCCGGCAAGTCAGCCAAAAGAGGCCGATAGATGTCCAAGAAGCTTTCCACAACCGAATCCGGTTCACCTGCAGCGCATACTTAACTATATATAGCGACTTTACCACTGCACTATACTTAACAATATAGAGACTTGCATGCATGGGTAGGAGGTGTGAGAACCACTGGAATTTGCATTTGGTGTCCTCATTTGCTTTTGGAATTGTCAAATGAAAA